TTTCTTGAACTATCTAGAAAAGTAAAACTATGCTAGTTACAAGTATAGAATTATTCAAAGTCAAGAAAGTAAAGAAAATAATTCTTGTCTCTGACATTACTAAAAGAATCTAGAATCAGATTGCTCAACTTTCTAAATTACAAAAAACAAGAACAAATTCTTAATACCCCAAAAATAGATTCTTACACCAAGATTCCTTTTCTAACTTTAAGAGTGATATTACTTATCAATTACTATTATATTATTATTGTCAAGAAAGCCTTTCTTCTATTTAAGTTTCATGTTCTTACAACAAGAATGCATATCTTTTTCCTCAAGACAGAAATTCTTAATATATATACCACTATAATCTTTGAGACTTTGGTTCTCAGTTCAAGACCAAAATTCTTACTGCCAATAAACACTTTCTTCTAAGCAACATATGTCAAGAAAGTAAAGAACAAAATTCTTGTTTTTTCTGACACAGCCCAAGAAAAGCAAAAACTTCCTTTCTCAAAGTTTGTTGATATGAAAAACAAGAAAATTCAAGAATGTTATTCTAGTTATGACTTGTTTTTTAAACCCTGCTTTTCTTATTTTTCTTACTATGAGAAATACAAGAAACATAAGGGAAAAATTCTTGTATTTTCTTAACCATGGCAAGAAAGTAATTCTTCAGACAAGAAAAACAAGACCATTTAACTCAATTTTCTAGAACATTCTAGGGGGAGAAAATCACTGCTAGAAATTGTTTCTTCACGTAAGAAAAATAAGAAAATGTTTCTTGTAGTGAAAATTTACAAGAAAAAAAAATTAGAACGATCTGTTGCTCTTTTCTTATTTATTCTTAATTTTTCTTGAAATTTCTTCATGTAAAAAAATTTTTCCACGAATTAAGAAAAACGAGAAAAATCATTTTTTGTAGTGCATAAACCACTCCCTATTGTCGAAATCAACTGAGACGAGAGTAATCATGTAGCTGCTATAGATGTTTTACCATTTTTCTCTTTTATAATTTACAATATCTGTAAAAAGAGACGTAGGTAGAATGTGCTGTGAAATGGTAATTGGTGTGCCCGTTTCCACTGAATCTAAGCTCAAGTCACACCTGATGGTGACTATTTTGGGTACACATTCAACTATTTAACAATTTAAATGTATGTCAGTAAAACCTAGCGAAAAGTTTCTAAAAAAAGGAAACAAGAATTCTAAAGCACAGGCACAACAGATCATTTTGGCCCTTTCATAAACATGCTTCACTTACCTTTTTTTGAAATGCGGATTGGTACTGTTTCTATACGTAATCATAGGGAAAAAATACTAGACCCGGTAAAACAAAACATGACTCTTGTAGAACTTACTATACCCTTTGAACAAAATACCAGTGATAGCAGTTACGAAGCTACTCTTGTAACGATTGAAGTAGGAAGTAGGGGTTTGGTAAGTGGGGGAAAACACCTCGAAGTTAAGATCGCTAGGTGTTGTTAGTCGTAGGAACAGGGAGGTACGACACCTAAAAAGGTAGGCTGGGAAAATGTGCAATAGGTACCCCTAATGCCATATACAGGGCAAGAAATACTGTTGATTGGGAAAACCATTTGGGACTATCCTTATGCTGTAATAAGTAGGCCACACGAAAAAGTGCAATCAATAGTCAAACCCTGCAATATAGCAATATGTACCTTTTATTTTATCAGACCTAGTGAATCTTAAAAACTGCAGTCTCGGCGTTTAAGGTTGTATTGAAGGGTGCCTGAGGACTTTTGGGGTCTTTTAAAAATACAAGTTGCATTTGGGTATTGACATTGAATTTTTGTCAGATGGTGCATTATTGTAAGACGATAATTATATTTCAGTCCATACCATGGTATGGATGAAATATATTGTGTTCTCACATGTTTCTCCTCCTTTTCCTTCTCCTGCCAAACAGTCAAAGGGATTCAACTCAGCCATCATTCAGCCAAATGACCTGAAATTTAGCATGGAGGTAGAGTGGGCCAATACACCCAGGCATTTTTTTTTTCATTTTTGTGATACATGCCTTTAAAAAATTTTAAAGAAGGTTTTTTGGGGCATTTTTCGCCAAAAAATGGATTTTTGGATCCTGAGCCCTGGTTTTACAACCAAATGATCTGAAATTCGGTATAAGGATACCTTGAACATGTGTCTACAGAATGTCAGTCACATATTTGGCATACACCACTTTCATATGACTCATTTGGGGGACTTTAATGGCTATTTTCAGCAAAAAAGGGCCAAAAGTGCTGTACCCGTTCCATGTTCTATCTAAAGAATGGCCCATTCCATCTGCCGTTGGCCATGGGACACATGTTCCATTGCGGGTTACCTGAGGTCACATTGCACATAAGTCGTGTGTAATGACCCACACATTCAATTTTATGTGCCTAAGACCTTCAAAATGTATCAAATCTCATCATTGTTAGTATTTGCATACCCGTAATAAGATTAGTAAAGCTTTCGAGATTCAATGTGCTTGTTCTTGCATGTTTGTTCTCAATTACATATCTACTATATGATTCATTTTTTTGAGAGAATCTTTGCCAGTTTTGCACTGGGGTAAATTTGGAATAGTCCACTTTTGCGTGGGAGGGAGATGGACTGAAATATGCTGTATTTGCTTCCAAGCAAATGTCGGCCTTTCTAGTCTTAAATGTTGATTTTTTATGATTTTTTTTCGATACTTTTGACATCCGACGCCACCAAGCCTCGCCGCGTCAAACAGCGTCGCCATGTTTCGGCCAAAGGTACAGATGTAGCATAGAGGGAAATCTTTACAAAAATGCCCATTTTCCCGTAATTCCATTTGCAGTTTTACCCAAAACTCATCTTAAAAATCATATATAAATAATACGGGATACGTATTTTCCCTGTACGGGCCGAAAAAACAGCGAAATTGCCGATTTTTTGTCGCTATTCCAAGGACGCCCATCCCTCCCCCGAAAAACGTGTCATTGACTCTTCAGCAAGCTGTATTTACCATACTGAGCCGCGATTTAAAAAAACTGGCCGGGGATACGTCCAGTAAAAAGAACAGCCCAGACAAGCCCCATTCTTTTAGCGTGGCGGAGTCACGTGACCTAACCATAATGGCGGTCGGCGTGTATCTAAAAAAAAAAGTGTAATGGCCCCCGTTACACTTTTTGTGTAACGGGGGCCGTTCGAGTTATGGAACATTTGGAAGCATGTGTGATGACAAAGAGACGGGCCGTACCGCTAGTTATAACACTGGCCAGAACATCCGTATCGAACGCAATCGTGGCCCAAGTATAAGCACACATACGCGTATTAGCAGCTGTTAGGGTGCTTGGTTTGACCCGGAAGTAGACTGGACAGCGGTCGTCTGAAAACGCCCATGCAGACCGCAAAACACAGAAAACGAAATGAGCAAAATTTGTATTTAGAAGGTCAACTTTGACGGGACATATCTCGTCTTCCAGTGGTTTTCGAATTTCCAACTGACGCACACACGGTTGTCTGACTCGTTGACTGCACGGGGACACATAACCCAGCTTAATTTGACGTATCGTGACCGTTCTACGACTTATATTGTATGGAGCATTCTAAGTACTCAATCCGGCGCGTCACATATGCTACGAAGGACGCTGTTGGGTTTGCGGCTACATTTGGGCCGCTAGACAATCTTTTAAACGGCTATACCCTACGTAGTTTTGTAGGTGGAATTTCAATACTCTGAGACCTTTCTGGAGAAAAATCGTCCGCGTTTTCTGGAGTTACGGACTTGTTTTCGATGCCTATCCCCGAAGTTCTTTGTTGTGTGATTTGGCACGGAAACAGCAGCATACGCGGCAACAAGACTGAAACGTTACCGGAGTAGATAGCCCTGGAAAAAAGCCTGCCCGTACGTGGTTTGAGATTACTAGAGAATATAATTTTGTTGATTATGTGAATTTCTGTTGAATTTTTACAGTGTATGATTTTTTTTACGTACGGAGTTTGATTTGCAAATATGGACGATCCGTTATCGCTGCCACTATTGCTGTAAATCGTAAAGATATGTTCGTCGTTACAGTTAAAGATTGTGTATACATTCCGCTCTAAGATAGCTTGAAGTTTGTTTGTATTGTATTTCTTTAAATAAAAAAAGAACGTTGTAGAATGGAAATCAATTCTTGTGCCATGTTTGTTCAAGTATCTTCTTCCTACAACTGCATAATACTACCGGTAGTATAATATTTACAAACATATGTTGCAGTCGAAACAAACTCAAACTAAATGAGACAGCACGCAAGTAGAGACAGTGACACGTTTTACTGGGCACACACAACGCTCCATAGATGGGAGCCCGGATGGTAGATGGCGCGTAAAACTTGCGAACTTTGTCGTTCAATTTCGCGGTCAAAATGTGGCCCTGGCAAAAAATATATCATAGATTATAAAAATAGAACTAAAAGTCTACCATACCAGATAGAGTTTTTTTTTCTATACTAGTATTTCCAAAAAGTCCTCAGACACCGTTAAATATTACCTTAAATGGTCAGACGCAAGCATACTCACCTGGCGTCCAGCGGGTTCCTTAATCCATATTAAGGGATCGACCTAAGTTTTTGATTTTCAAATTTCGTCTTGTATGTTTCACAAGACTAGAAAGAATGATTTCAACATATACAAATACTCCATGCCACTGGTGCTCCCACAGCATGGAGCAAAATGCTCAATATTTGGGTGAACAAAAGTGTATATACTCCCACCATTATTTACCATGTTGTATTTAAGTTACGTTCGCTTCTGTATATGTATGTATGTATAGTATAAGGCAGTGTTTGTATTCAAACGACTCCAGGAAGACTAGTGTTGTATTATTGTTGTACGCACTAATGGAGATCGATCAAATAAACAAATAAACAAACAAACAAACAAACCAAGATTTATGTCTGCTACCCATAGTCTTCAGGATTGGAACAGCAGTCAGCAATACAAGTAGAAATAAGAAATTCAACAACATTGATCAAATAATTCTTTTCACACCTGTTCAGGAATAACTTGTCCAACTTTGCCACCACTGCCCAATGGTGTCACTTCTAATGGTCAGTTCTATGGTGATACGGTGACGTTTTCCTGTGACCAAGGCTATGAACTGGAAGGAACAACTTCCTTGACCTGCCAACTTGACACAACATGGAGTGGAATCATGCCAAGATGCGTCAGTAAGTGTGAAAACCATAAAAACAGCATTATTAAAAATCCACTGCCTAAGTACCAATTACATATAGATTCCTCCAGTTTACTTTAAATAGGATATAGACGAACCATGGTTTCCCCCGTTTAAAGGAGCTACCTACCGACAGGATGTTAGAAGCTAATCTGGCCCTAAACATCATAAATGGGTTATACATGTAAGCCACAGGAAGTCATTTTTCAAACAGTTAGAAATGCAAGTGCCATGAAAGAGAACACAATGAACGTTCATAAGATGACGTAAATCACATGCAATGTTAGTCTAGATAAAATGTACAATATTTACCAACAAATATCTGTATGCACACTATCTGCAGAAATCACCTGCCAGCCGGATCTACCTGTGCCCACTAATGGCAGTAAGACATGTTCTGAAGGAAACCGCTTCCAGTCAACATGTAGCTTCTCCTGCCATCTTGGTTTCCGGCGAGTTGGACCAGAAACCAGAACATGTGAACACACTGGCCAATGGTCAAACGGCACAGAAACATGGTGTGAAGGTGAGAAATATCATTGGTTCACAATATAATGCAATTAACTTTTTCACATATGTTTATATGTATGTCTCTTCCTTCAAGTTCGATGGATATGTCTGTAGAAACATCAGATAAAAGTTAGCATAATTATATATGTACAATAATGTCGAAAGAAATAGCCTCAGATCGCCTTACGCGTACTTCTGTGAGGATCATAAGTTCCACCACATTCTTTTGTAGAATGTGCCATTGTACATGTATACACACATACATATATGCATAATTTATGATTGTATAAATAGTTTGAAATCTTTGTTATAGAATCTATGAAATGCACTGTATAGCTTGCAGCCAAGAGGTAGTGCGCTGGTTTTGGATAATGTCCATTTGAGAACATACATGTAGAGGACTATTTTCTTCTTATACCTTGTGTTATACAGCTTATAATCCACTGGCGGGATGTAATGTTCGTGTCTTTACTCTTTTTTTTTAGAAATCACTTGTTTCCCACTTGAGATACCGGCCGGTGGTGATGTTTCCCCACCAACATGTGCATCCCAACCAGTTGTAGCAGGAAGTATCTGCACAGCGTCATGCTTCCACGGATTCACCCTAAGTGGAAATCCCACAGCTGTCTGCACCTATGAAGGGGATTGGTTTCCGTCAGTTTTTAACGTGAACTGTACAGGTAGAAAATTTTTTAATTAAATTTAGTTTCAGGTACTGCATGTTGAGGCCACACCAATTTAATCTGTTGGTTCTCGGATTATTTAAATGAAAAATATAATGTGACAGGGCGAAAAAAACTTTGAAGCCTGGGCTGGGAAGAGTGGACTGCCCCCCCCCCCTGTTACATGTAATGTTTTTTTTAACAGAAAAGTAAAAAAAGGCAATTCCCTACTGCTACATATGTTGCTCTTTTCATAACGTATGATCCTATTTTCACCTAAGTACTGAGTTTGTTATGAATTGGTAGCAACAAATATAACTTTAATAATTTTTTTCTATTTTTTTAAATGGCAATCATCGATAGGTAACAGAGAAATTATGGTATTTAGAATCCTGAATTGTATAAACCAAGGACGTTTACTCACTGAGTGAGTGTTTACACTTGTAAAAGTCCGAATAGCAGTTACATTTGTCTTTTAATCTAATTCTATTCATGAAAGTCAAAAGCCAGGTGCTGTTGATGTGTACTTTCAGAAAATATTTAAGTAGTTGAAAGTTCTGATAACATGCCCAAAAGGGAACTCGGACAACGTATTCAACTGTGACCAAAAATACTGACAATAGTATCATTTTCTTGCATGTTGAAGCCTACATTCCTAGTTTTACCAGCTACAAATTGTAGAAGCACGCTCTTGCCTGGTCTAACCGCCCGCCATCTTGTCTTAGCGCAATGCAAAATAAAGCCCTTCTATTGGTTCACATACGTCACATGGTCAACTGGTAAGACAGGCACCTATCATTTTTTTTTAATTCGTCAGGTGTTTTCATTTGTGTTTAGTCATTTATTTTCGTCAAGTTCTCTGGGGCGGAGCCTGTGGATCAAATTGATATTTCTCTATTCTGGGAAATCTGATAGCGGGAATTCAGAGAAACGACAAATTAAATTTGTGTGGCCTGAAATAACAAATTCATTTTTTTTAATCTTCAGGTTTGGATTACTCCTACTATTACCATTTAAGATTAAATTGTGCATGTCCTGCCTTTATATAGTTAATAATTTTTGTGTGAAATGTAACCGTGGAAACAAAGACAAACATATACATCCTAAACAATAACTAAGGGTTTGAGGTAAACACACTGTATGCTTTATTTCTACGGTAAAACTCAGCTTATCAATTTACACCGTAAAAGCAAAACATTATGGTTCCATTGGATTCAATGTGCATGATCTTTAAAGCATTTGACTCATTAATAAATTGTATTTTGTATGTTCTTAGCCATCACCTGCAATCAGCTGAATCCACCTCCAAATGTAGTTGTTGAACCAGAGAACTGCATATTGACTGAGGCAAGCTTCTTAGACAGCTGTACGTTCTTTTGTAAACCTGGATATGCTAATGAGAATGGACCGGGTGTTTTGGAGACTACATGTTCTGCATCTTCCGGACAACACAGCACCAAGGTCAATGGAGGGTGGACAGTGCCTGTAACCGATATGGTCTGTCAAGGTATGTATCCAAACTAACTTATTAACCGTTAAAATTACTAATTTAACCAAATGTTTAGAAAAAATGTAAGACAAGGTAGTGCAGTAAATAAAATCTATATTTACTGATTACCTGTACATGCAAAAAAAACACCGTTTGGAAAGGGTGAGCGATGCATACATTTTGTTTAATTTTTTTTTAAACTCTTTCTTTTTATTGATATTTTCACATATATGTTGGACAGAAAGTATGGCATGTATACAAAATAAGGAAACACATGTGTAAACCACAAAAGTAAAACACAACATCAGGAGATTAACGATACGAAAACATCATGCCATACACATAAAGATAAACATCAAACTTAGAACATGAAATGACGAGATACTTCGAGCCATGAATGAAAAGAAAAGATAGATAACAGAACATTTCTTGCTTAAAGCCAATTGAAAGTAAAGTACAAATAACTTAACGTAAACAAAGGTCTAAGCTCTTATAAGTTCTTATAAATGAGAGGCCCTTACTTAATCTCATGTGCTCCATCCATCATCAGTATCACACTAATCATTCCACAAAAAAAGAACATTTCAACTTAAATGAACTCAGGTAGCATAACATAATCACAAGTTTGGTGCAACTCAAGGTACATATAAAAAAGAAACAACTTAATGTGAACATAACACTCAGTACAACTAATCAAATTTTACTGTATACGGCTGTGACAAACATGCGATGGCTGGGTTTGAGGCCAATCAGAAGCCAAGAAGCAGCATCTCGTAACAGGTGTTTCCATGAATGCCTGTTTTCACCTGATTAGCATTTCAAAAATTCAAGGATTCAAACCAGCCGCATATTTGTCACGTCTTGTAGCTTGCACCAAGAAAATAAAGCATTCATTCAGTTCTGTCCAGTTTTCCAGTTCGTTAACAAATCCACAAGAACACTTGTCTTTACACCAATTACGGAAGAATTTGTTATAAACCAGTTGACCAAATTCTCAAAGTAAGGAAAGCCACTGGACTCG